ACATTACCAGACATCCGATTCGAACCGTCTTCTCTTACAGTCTAATATAAAAAAAAACGATTATCTTAAAATGGTGATGCAACATACAGTTACATAGCCAACCAGCCGCTCTCTATTTAAGAGCTATAAACACACTTATATATATATATATATATATATATTTCCTTTCTTTCTCTCTCTAAAAAAAACTAACACGACCCGAGTTTAAATAGTTTCGTGATTTGCATTGCAGTTGCTGCCAGCCACAAATCACGAAACTTGCAAAAAGGTTGGATTCGAATCGGTTGGTTTGATTGAGATCATGGAACGGGATTGGAAAAACAACACAAGGAGACCACAAAAATTCGGATCCGAAAAATAATATTTCACATGGTTCTTTTTAAATGTCTAACAATATATATATATTTATATATATATATATATTTATTTATCAGTAGATGGGAGAGGACATTGTTTTTTTTCCCAATGGGCTGCTTATTAGTATAACTGAGCCCTTTCAGATATAGTAAGGCCAAATATAAGATCCATTTGAGTGATGGCACCATCTAGTGGCGAATCTCGCTGCTAAATTTGGACTCTCGAATTAATTTAATTCAAGCTCACGTCGGATACTGAAAATTGCCGTGATTTTAATTTTGCCAAGAGTACTAGAGCCAAATTGATACTCACTGAATCTTTTACATGCCTCATAATCATAGGACATGCATACCTACGATTTTCTCATTCAGAAAATCTATCGACACCACCCGAGGTCGAACCCACAACCTTAGGCTTACGAAGCAAGCACGCCACCTCTAAGTGACCGGAGCCGACATCATCATCATTTATAGTATAATAAGAATTTTATTTTCGGATATACCTCATTTTGCTAAATTTACAACGTCTATTTGATTATATATATATATAATTTGAATACACTTTAAAAAATCACTTTCTACATCATAATTTTGTCAGCATCGAGTTTGGTGAATTTTAAAAAAGCTGATTGGGGTAAATAATCTCTGTCGTAGGGTAACTAATATAAATATGTATTTTAAGATAACTAATCCAATAATTAGGTTTGAGAAAATATTGAATGAATATTATTTTTCCTAAATTACAATATTTATTTCCGGAAAATATATATTTTCAGTTAGATTTTACTTCACTAGCATTGAATCATGTATTACTGAAAAATGTATAAACTTTCAATGTATATATAGTTATTATTTTTTATGTATTTTTAAATATATAGGTATAAAATATTATTTATATGGGATCACTAACGCTTAAACGTTATATTGAGGTATTTTTGAAATTTTACTTACAGTAGACGTATAGATCTCTAAAATGAGAACTTTTAGACATTTAAATAAGTTGTAATGTAAAATATATTATTTGTAATCAAGAAGTGTGGCTTTTATTTGAGCATTCTTGAAGGACACATTGTTTTTACATTGTCATACATAAATTAAATTGGATACATCAAAGAGTAATTTTTTATGTTGTAGAAAATAATTTGGTTTAATTTACATATAAATCAACAATCTAGTACCTTTAAGAGTTTATTATGGCTTGTTAAGGTATATCTCTTTACTATGATTTAACAAGCCATGACAAACTCTTACCGCATTTGAGAAATATATTAGACATTGCTAAGTACCATTACTCCATATCACATAGGCTTAGTTCCAGTGGCTGAACACAGTAATATGAACATTTTCTGCTTTATGTTAGCAAAAATTTTTCAATAAAAGTGATTTTCTAGATGCATTCGTCGGCGTCCTTATATTTGAACTATGAGCAGATATCAACGAAAAGAATGCGCATACTTTAATTCCATGCACAATATCTCTCTCCCTCGGTTTAAATTTAATCAAAAATATGCTTGTCATTGCATTAATTTTACGCGTATACGTTATAAAAATAATACTTCCCCTCAGTGTATGATTCCAATGGATTAAATCATAGTATTAAAAACCTCAGTTTGATTGAAATTTTTGATTTACAAATTATTTTAATGCGGTTTATTTTAGGTAAAAATGCATACAAGTCCTTACTGAATATTTAGGTCTGCACAAATTTAGTCTATTTTACTGAACTGTTTTTGTTCGGTATATTTTTCGCAACTGTGTGTGTGTGTAAAATATTTTGAAAATACTCTTAGTTCTTACTCTTACTTTTGATAACTTGAATAATTTTAGTCAGCACGAGAGTCATATTCTTTTAACCATCTACCAATATACACAAGAAATTTTTAACATTACAATTGAAAATAAATTAATGGTAATGTGTTAATTTAGAGAAATTAAAATATTACGGAAAGAAGGAACAATTCATGACTGAAAATAAATTTTTAGCAATTGATTCTAGAGTCATTCCGACAATTTATGGTAAATCCATTTTTGTTAAATACGGTTTGTTTATTCGGTACTTTTCCGTTTCACCGACGCAAATCCTCGCCAAGGTGGCTTTATTGGCGACAACACGCAATATACGCACAAAAAAATATAAAGAAATGTTAGTTCTCATTGACGTTACTGATTTTTGATGTATTATGAGAAAGACGTTACTGATAAGAAAAGACCGCGACTTGTTTTGAAAAATGTGGTGGTAAAAGGATATCATCGAGAATATACCGTTTAGTGTCGGTTGTATCATTTTTGGCGACTTTATCACCTGTGCCGGCTAAAGAAAAGTAATGTTTATTCATTACGTATATTTATGTGTTCTTCATAATTTCAAAAACTGAAAATTTTTATTTGACATTCGACTATAGTCATATTTATTTATTACATTGTAGACCAATTAGTATCAATTAACATTCTAGAAATATTATTTTGTGTTTATTACTATCATTGCTATTAATCGAATATTATGTACTATGTTTGATATTATATGAATTTATTTAATGTTATGTGATGTTTTGTACACTGGAAATCAATTGATGAATATTTTTGTAAGACTTTGTCCCTTCTTAAAATTGGGAGACAAGTGCAAGGATAATCAAATTATTAAAGTAACCAAAATTTTACTTCCCATTTAATATTTAATTTCCCGCCGGACACATTCGCGTATAAAATTAAACATCTAGTTCTTTCGCTAGAAAAATCACCTAACCTTCAAACTCCTATCTCACTTCCTTTTATGGTCACAGGTCGTAATTTCCCACGCGTTACTTTCCATTCGAAACCTAAGCTGAAAGATGATGGTTTAGCAATTATTGAAATTAACATGCAATCCATTTAAAATCAAAAACAGTTGCCGTTGTTTTACGTTACAAAAATGTTGTTGAAAGATGTTTTCGCAAGCAAGTATAAAAACTTTTTCCCGGAAAAGTTTCCACTCTCCTTTTGAAATTTGTCACATACGTATACCGTAAAATTCGGTGTATAACGCGCACTTTAAACACAAAAAATAAGGTTGAAATTGATCAGTGTGCGTTATACGCCGGGTATAAAAATGATAACTTCAAAAATAAAGAAAAAGATGAGCACAGAAAAATTAGGCTTCTGTAGATCGGAATATTGTTTGTTTAAAAGAAATGACATAGTTAATGAACTTAAAAGGTTGTAGTTCTAGAAGTATACCCCTTTTGTTTCAAAATCCTAAGATAATACCTCGAATAAAAGACTTCAAAACCAATAAAGCTTTACGTACTTATACTGTAGGTTCCTTCGCAAAATGCAGCTTGAAATGTATGCTAGAAAGTATAGGTGCAAATGAAAGTGTATTCGCAAATGCATGTTTGAAATTATAAGTGCGAGTAATACACCGGTGCTCGT